AGAAAAAAAAAAAAAAAAAAAAAATAGTTACAGGAGTCTCCTGAAATGTCTTCCCAATAAGTAGAAGGTCAGCACAGACCCCATCTGTCCTTTGCTGTATGTCATATACAACCTAGCATTGGCAAATAATTTTGTGTCAATTCTACTTTTACAGAAGGAAAGAAAATTTGTGAAACTTGAGAAAGGGCAGCAATAGGGACAGAAAAAGAGGTAAGAAGAAAGAGTCATCCATATCCACCAAAACGCAGAGAGATGTACTTAAAAGGCAAGCAGGGCAAAAGGATTTAGGACCAGGAAATCCAGCTATACACGTAGCATAGCTGTACTATGCAGAAGCAAAGCCCAAAAGGGGAAGAGGAAAGTAGTCTTCATTGAGAGGATGTCTCCACCAGGGATTGAAGAAGGCAATATGATCTTCATGATTCCTCCAGCAACTTGAGAAGCCTAATCTGTGCATCTAAAATGCATCAGTACTAATTATAATGAAGTGTTTAATCAGAGTATGAAGCCAGACTATTCGACAGTGTGGAAAAACACTAGTGTCCCAGGACATGTATTTTAAATTCTGAATGGATACACTGATATTTGATTTGGGAAATTTGCAAATAACACTTTGGGTGAGAGGGGTAGAGGGAGAGGAGAGAGAGGGAGAGAGAGAGAAAGAGAGAGAGAGAGAACCAGCAAAAAAACCCTTTTCCAATTTCCCAGAGGTGTACTGGTGCACTTGAATGTAGACTGTACTTGTAAAGTAGAATGTACAACTTGCCCAGTAAGAACTCTGTTCATATGGCCTTCACCCACAAAGATACCCATTCCCAAAAGAAAACTTCAGTGCTACCCTACATTTCAGTTTACTAATCTGGAAAGAAATGTGTTTGGTGAGACTGTAGGCTAAATGCAGCACACAGTTTTTGCTATACTCATTGACAAAAATATAAAAATTTGAAAAACAATCTTAAGAGTTTAAAGGACTTTAGAAAAGATGTTGTACAATCCAGCACCCCCTTTATCAATTTCACAAGGGTTGTCAATAGCAGGAATTCAGTGACCCCTGGAGTAGATGAGCATATTTAGAAGTACCAATTCTATCCTTTGGCCTAGACCAGGAAAACTATAAACACTCTTTTGTATATTATAAGCTTAAATATAAAGACACCTATCACATTTTTCTTCTTACAGCTCAGTTTCTGCTGACTAGATATTCCCAGTCTCTTCAACAATTATTTGATAGGCGTGTTTCAGAAATTAGTAAGAAAAACAGTGGACCACAGACTGACTTTTTATGTAAGCTAAAATGAAGTCCTGGAAAGCCCTACTGTTTATCTCAGCCACTCATCACATAGGCCATTTGAATAGAAGTAGTATTAATAATAGAAGTTTAATGAAGTTGCATCTGTTTCCTCTGAGTTTGTGCAACTGTCACTTGGAGCCAATGGCTGATCCTTCTGGCAGAGATAGTGTACAAATGCCATTCCCATTTTTAACTCAATAGAATCAAGGATTAAATATGCTGGGCAGAAAACAACCTAGGAATCAGAATTAATACCTGAGTGTGATTTTTCCTGTGCCACTTCTAACTGCACAAGTAGGGAAGAGATCCTGAGTCCCTGTCTTCTCCTTGATGAAATGAGGGAATGGACAACTGAGAAATTCATGGCATCTGACTCAGAGTTCCCATTGTGTGTGTGTGTGTGTGTGTGTGTGTGTGTGTAGTATTATAGTTTTTTGGAAGGGTGCTGAAGCAGGAGGAAATTTAAAATATTAAGGGAAATACAGCAGTACAGAATCTCTTGGGTAATAGTACAAAATAATAGCTGGAAGTAGCTGAAAATTTCAACATTAGATCACACTACATTTCTTTTCATGATACATCTTCATGAAACTGAGTTCTTGTGGTTGTGTTGATAATAAGCAAGTACTTTGTGAAAGTCAGTGTAGAACAGACAATGAGAGAGGTGGCATCTTGTGCTACTCTAAGTTTGAGAAGCTGTGCAGTGTTCAACAGGCTCACCACAATACACCATTGGAAAATGGCTGTAATTATTTAAGAATGGAGGACATAAATACTTTTTCTTTCAATGTGCTAATGTATCAAATGTCTACTAAGTTGTTAGGCCATAAATACTTAAATTATTTGGCCTTACTTACTTCAGAATTTGAAATGGTTCTTTGACCTAGGAGTTTTGTAAGAAAATTATGGAGACATTAAGGACAATGGAATAAGGAAAGCTGGAAGCTTCTACAGAAATCACTTCTCATGATTACATCAACACCCTTTAAGAATGATCATTCCCTCACTGAGGTGGAATTTCCCCTGAGGAGGCCATCATGTAACTTTCAACTTCCTTCTGCACTCGGGAAGATAATCCAAGAGAACAGGGAACAGAAACTTATACAGCTCTGTGAAGCCTGTGGCTGCAACTTCTCAATCTACAAATCATCAAATCAAACATCCCGGTCTTTTCCTGGCAATCCTGAAGTGGTGTGGAGAGAAAAAATGCCCATGGAGAAGGAAACTTGGCACTGGAAAAATCTTGGAAGTGGAATGAAGAAGGAATTAAACAGATAAGCATGCTCTTTGAGGTGAGAGCTGTTGGATTTCTTTAGAGGGTGCTATAATTTGGATCGGAAGTGTCTCACAAGTGGTGGAGCCTTTAAGAAGTCTTTAGCTTTAAGAGGTCCTGCTCTCCAGTTGATCATAGAACCCCTGAGATGAATGGCTTTGGTCTATCTACTCCTTGTTATTATGTACTGACTTGCCATAGGCCCACAACAGCAGAATGAACCCAGTATGGGCTGAAGCCACTAAAACTGTGAGACAAAGTAAACCTTTCCTCCTAACAAATTTTCTCAGATATTTTGTTATAGTAAAAGCAAGCTTACCAGCAGAGTTTAGTGATAAGCCATCTAACAGGAGAGATGTTAGAAGTCTAACAGATTCACTAAATTTACACCTCTGGGATTTGGACATCAAATAAGCCAGTGAGTCTCATGGCTTATAGCAGACCTTTGAATATTCAATAGCTGCCTTTTTCTAAAGAGCAAAAGTAAGGAGTAAAGTAAGTTAGATCTCAGCATTTTAAGAGCATGAAATTCTCATCAAGGATTTATTATGCCCTCAGCTGTAATACCTTGAGAAAACAGTTCTAGAACACTCTAGGGGTTCAAAACAGATGTGGAATAGCTAATTTCTACAGAATGGAATAGGCACCACTACACTTCAGCCACGTGTATTATTTTAGTATGCCAAATTACCACAAAGCACAAACTGGCTTTCTTAATTTGTGACCTGGAACGACATGATGCCCCTAATAAACACTCTAATCATATAATGAATGCATTCACCCCATAAAATAAGAACTCCAGACCTCATCTCAGTTGAGTGAGATGCAGGAGCCATTTCTATAATCTGTCTGGATATGTTACAAATAAAAATATAAACTTAGAGAATTCAATCAACTGGAGGGGTAGTCTCTCCACTTTATTGACTAACATAATAGATTCTAAAATGAAAAGTTCCCTTCTGTGATTTTAAAAAATCTCGGTATCCTGAGGTATCTCATTTCATGGGATATACATTCCTAATATTTAAAAACTAGCTTTATAATATTTCAAATAAAACTCTATTTGAATAAAACCGTGGATGATGACTTTTATAGAAGTAACAGACAAGCATTAATTTACATGATTTGCAAAAGCGTGGTCTCAAAGTGAGTTTCTTTGTTCTGATTTTGCAATATATTGTGAGCAAACTTAAGCAGACTCTTTACCTTCTCAAAGCTCAGCTGCTCAGTTTGCCAAAGAGGATGGGCATAGATTATGTATTTGAACACTGAGTTCACCTGAGCTAAAGGGGTTACAAGGAACTCCACCCAAGAACATCCAAGAGAAAGTCATTCAGACCCCCCAAACACTTCCTAATTAACCAGATTCACTAAAAGCTTTGACTGATGGGACCTCCAAACATCTTTATTTTAGACACACAGTCCTTATGGTTAAAAGGAAGCTTGATAACCACCAGCCTAACAGATGAGTCTCAAATTTTTATGAATAATGTGATCACCAAGACAGCCTGTGAAGGCACAGACTCTGCTGCAGAAAGCTGGAGGTGGGGCCTGTGAATGTGAATTGTGAACCAGCTCCCAGTGATGTTGACTCTGCCTGCCTGGGTATCACACTGAAGTAGCTAACCCTGGCTTAGACGGTTCTTTTCAGTTCAAAATTTCCCTAGTTAAGCTTAAATTATAAAACAAGAAACATAAAAATTTTTATAGTGATTCGACACTTAGCAGAAACATTGAATTTTGTCCTGTTTTATTTGAAGCCATACACGCAAACTAGGTTCTTTTTTAAATTAAACCCTTACTAGTAAGTGTAAATTTACATTGATCATTTAAAATATTCTTCTAATCTGGGTGCCTCATGTAAGAAGATACTAGGGGGAAATACTCATCAAAGACAAACCAGAATTCATGCTATTTTTATAATGATGCAGAAACCAATTTACCCATAAGAAGCTTAAAACACATAGTAATTAACTGTTAA